TTACTGGCAGAAACATGGGCAGAAAAATAGTAATGACAAAATACATCAAGATTTCGGACAGGATAATCATGGGGTCACCTTGTGGGTAATTATTTTAAAGAGTACCATTTTACGTTTACGCATAGCAAGAAAGACACACTCTTCAGTTAAACTTGATTGGCTCACTGTAAGTTCGACTAAAATCAAATTATGTTCCTGCGGAAGAACGGAAACCTGAGTGCAGTTGTTACTTCTCCCACATTTTAAGTGGAAAATGCACGTAGCATAAAAAAAGGCGGATAAACAAATTCCGAGTACTCGGCCAAAGTGAAAAACATTAGACGCTCAGACACAAAATCAGACGGAAGTGTCAGTAGCAGCCAGTTTTGTCTCAGGCTGGGTAGTCGCAATGCAGGGTGAAAACTGAAAGGGACTGAACAAGGGACAAAAATGACGAATAAGCGGACTAAATTTAATAAGATTCAATAGATGTAAGGGACCTGATAAGCGCATTTCTGCATTGACCGTAAACTTGTCTTGAATGTTCATATATGGCTCAGAAGAAGCTGCAATCCCTTGAGCAAAAGGAACGTTGGCCTGATGTTTCGGATTCACATACAAACCAACCCTCTGCATCTTTTCCTGATCATTTTTTGAAATTTTAAGATAACACGCTTTTCACCCCAGTTATTGAATCTTCTTTCGAACTGAAGCTCTGTCATCTGTCGCTATCCAGCATACGAATTTCGGTGCAAACCTGGGCATCATCTAAACATAATCTTTCCAAAGTGTTACGGGGCCGCAGGCCCTGCATACCAATTTGAAAATATAGTTTAATTAACTTGTTATGCATTACCTTTATGAAGCAAATCTTAAACTCGAAAAATATAAATAGCTCATTATTATCCAAGTTTGACTCGATAAAGTAAATTGTCCCTATACTTTGCTTTTATTCACAGGACACACTGACCTTGCTAGGAGCCAATGGCCTATTCATTAGCGAAAATCCGCACGCCCCCACTGCATGGGTAACATCCCCTGTTTTGTCGAATTCTTGTCGCTAAGCAACTGACTCTGTGACCTCCGGACGGAATCCAAACGTACACTGAGGTGTCAATGCAAACGATGGTCGAATAGATGACCGAGCACTTAGTGCACCAAAATCCAGAACGACTGATGGAATTTCAGCAGGTCACGACCCGCACGCCGGCCATCGAGCAATTAGCGCACAAACGGACTATCTCCGCACGCAGCTGCATCGCGACTGTATCCTATGGATACCGCACATCCT